TAGTGGATGGAGCAATGAGGTCCTTGTGCAGGTCTTTGTTGGATGATCGTTTCATGTAGTCCGGATAGGTTTCGATCAGCAGCAATGAAATGCTTTGTCCCAGAGTCCAGTCAACTGTAGGTCGACGGGGCTCAGGGAAATCCTACTCGACAACGGCCCTCCACCCCCGTCTCGGCACAAAATCTCTCACACCTTCATCCTCCAACACATCCTTCCCCAGCCTCCCCGTGACCACACTCCTTTCGACCTCAGGCCCGCGAACATAGAACGGCTCGAACCCTAGGTCCTGTCCAGTCCGCACATTGCGCTTGCGCACCCACCTCTTCTTCGCTGACCCAGCTTTAGCTTTAGCATGCTCAGGGACAAACCCGGAGTTGACCCGGTCCAACGTGGCAAACCATCGTCGCTGGTGGATCGAGCCGATCGTGTTTGTGGAACCGGGGTACGCATTGTTCACCCGAATCTGATGGTCTATGGCGCTTTCGGACTCGGAATGGGAGGCCATGGTGGCTGTGTCTATGTCTGCCCCTGTGTCTGCAGATTGATCGTGAGATTTCCCGTCTGAAATGTCATTGTCTGAGGAGGTGCTGGGCTCCGGACGGGTCGTTGATGAACGAATAGTCCTTCTACGTCTTTTGCGGGGAACCCGTGAAGATGGCTTTGCAAAGTCAAAATTCTTGTCTAGTTGGAGGATGATGGTGTAGTTCTCTGGAAGACGGGTTCCATGGAGTCGGAGGCGAATTTTATTCTGTTGGCTATCAGCATGCTTTCAGCCGTCGTAAGGGCTGAGGTAGAAAGGACATGTCACGTACGTTGCGAAAAGCCTCGCGGAGTTTCTCACTCTCAGTCTTCCTATAATCAGGAGAATGAAGTGATGTGTCTGAGAGTTCTGACCGGGAATCGTCTGTTTCGGCCATTTCTGGCTCGGACTGGGAAGGAAGGATTTCGTATTCCCCTGTGTCCCAAATGATCATGCTACCTGTACTTGCGGATGCTGCTTCAATTAGGTGGTTCTGTAGGTTCAAAGGCTGTCAGAGTAATGTAAAGGGAACAATCCTCACTAAATACAATGAGCCATGGGACAACATACCCAAAAGCAATGCACCCGCGTCTCAGTCGCATTCCGATTCAACCGCCGACTGTTGGGATCACCGGGTAGACCGTACATGATCGACCAGCTGACAGAGCTCGTCTCCGAAAACTGCAGCCGCAGGTCATAGTGCGGTCCTGCGATGGGGTGATCATGTTGATGAATCACAAAGTGTCGGCCATTTGGATACAGGTTTCGTTCATACAGATCCACCCAGTCTCTGATCGGCAGCCGAGGCACTTGGGGTGATACCGGACGAGCACACCTCGCAAGTCTGGAGGAGAAGATCTTGAGGTGGTCTGTCACCTCTATTGCGCCAGCTTCGATGGCTGCAAGGCTTGGTTCAGAACCGGGGTTTTTCGAGTCTGCGACATTTGTTTGCTTCGCGGACGATATTGAAGGTTCACGCTGATCGTTCGAGACTTTCTTGACCCGACTCCTTCTTCTAGGTGGCGAGACAGGCGCATCTAGTGTTGAGAGTAGAGATGGTTTTCTATCCTCGAGAACCTGATCGCTAGTCGAACAGGGCTGTAGTTGTTTATTTTCCCCGTTCAGACTGCGCTTCATGATGCTGTCAGATATGAAGTGGAGCGGGACTGCTCGTGGATCTCTGGATATTCATCACATGAGCGTTTGGAGAAGGTATTCCATGGTTCAGAGATCTTCAAGTGCTCTGTCGAAATCTACGCTTGTCAATAATCATGAGTGGTAAAGAGATGACTTCGTCAGGGCCAGAAGATGATCATCAGTGTTATGCATTTCTTAGTCAGCGTTTATGTTTATGTCTAACTATATTCATCATTGTATTTCGCTTTCATTCACTCCATGCGTTCACAAGATCTGGAAAACACCAATGCAAGTAAATATGTCTATGGTACTTCAAGCTGACTGTGTACTAATTATTCCCCCTTTTCTACAAGTAGGTGACCAGTCATGGTGGGCAGTGGTTAGACCGTTAAGCCATATCTCATTGACTCTTAGAGCGTATCTCATTGGCTTCACGGTTTGAAGTCGCCATACCACTCGTCCGAGGTTGTCCAAACCAACCAGAGCTTCAACTCTTCGATGAAGAAGGCACTGCCATGTATGCAGAGGCGCTTCCCTGCTTGATGAGTCTCCGTCTGAAATAATTTTGGCGGCAAGAAAGAATGGGTAATCAATGCAAAGTTTAGGTTTTTCCTCTGTCAAGCTTCGCGGACTTTCGTTGAAGGTTCCCCCTATCCTTTGACGGCCTTTTGTCTGGATACACCAACTTTTCTAGCATCCACTTCCACACTCAAGGGGTCCAGCAATCCCCTCCATTGAAAGCTTGAGATCGCGGGTACAACATGCCTGACATAAAACGGGAGATACTGGAGAGATGGCTTGACCGGTCTCTCCTTTCATCCTTTCGTCGTGGGCCCTTAATACACCAATCGCTGATCGAAAATATGACAAAAAGCGTTTGGAGACTACACGGACTGATGCTTTATTACGAAGCAAGCCATGGACTCCACGTTACAGACTTCATGGGTCTTTCACACATTGAAAAACATTCTTAGGCATCACGGGATACTGTTATCAAATCAATGTCATCAGTGAGCATTCTTTTGATGGGGGAAACAGAACTTGCATATCTCGTCGAGATCACCCATTTCGCTTGCCGAAGGGTTGTAGCCATTGCCATAACAGCATGGACAATGTCTCCGCAGATGCAGTCCGTTGTGCTGCTAACTTATCATTATAGAGTTGTTTAGATTCTTTTTCTTTCTTTCGAGTCAATGTAACATGAATACACACTGTTTCACATATGCACCAGTGTTTGCAGAGGATTAGGTTATAGTTGGTAGGTAAGCGATTAGTATTGCGGCTGTCCTATGCGCCTCTCCTGCAGGTCTTATGCACCACTATTGATCCATCATGAGAGCCAGCAAACACTCTTCCTGAACAGACAACTTGCATCGGACCTCCTCTGCTCTTTGTCTTATCAATCTTTCTCCCAGGCACAGGATTCCTAGCCAGAAGCTCGGTGGAGATGTCGATCATTCCGATGAAAACAAGCCATTCCAATAAAGTCCGGTTCGGGGACCAAACCTTCCTGTAAGTGTCCCGAGATACCTTCACAGTAATAAAATGTGCTCGGACTGAGCTTCTAACGAGCTGCTTTTTTGGAGAGCCTACCTCTCGTATTGTCGGGAACTCATCGACTATTAAAACCTAAAACTCTTTGGTCCTCGAAGTAGCTACAAGTCAGAATGCTACCCCTTGATGATCATTGTTCATTATGCTTCAGTTCGGGGACCTGCGGACGGTGGAGAGCTCTCCCCAACCTTCATCCATGGATTGGAGACTGAATAAGCTGCTCGGGGACCATTGATAATCGTCATTGAACGGGGGAAGCACACAATCGCCGAACAAATCTCAAGAGGAAGTCGGAAGATGACTGTGGCGCATCGACGGCTTTGTGAATTTGCTCTTCTTTATGGTGAACCCCTTGACAATCTACCGAGCGTCTACGACAGTGAACTCGAGGAATCACCCTTTGAATTTGTGGCATGGGAGGAATAACCTCATTTCAATTGGTTTTCAGAGAGTGATTCAACCTGGCAAGCGGTCGCAATGTTCACGCCCATCCACACCTCCCTTGGAGCTTTGCTGCTTTTCCAGAGTTCCTCAGGCCTCCTTCTACATAACGGAGCCGTCTTTGGCATTTCGTCCTTATTGTCCGGATGCGTTTTCAATCCCAGTTGCGATAATGTCCCCATAATCGCAGGATTAGTCTCCAGCGTGGCCCCGACCTATTTGTTTGCGCCATCCTTGTTACCAACATATCCACCTGCGCCGAACTCGTGGGCTTCCGTGGCGTCCACGCTCGGCATAGGGTTCCTACTGGGCTGGGGAACAAAGGTAAATGGCTACCGCGACCGCTTTGCTGAGATTCCTTGCTGACGGAGGACCTTGAACTAGAATGGCCGCGGCTGCACATCAGGCCACATGCTCTGCGGTCTTTCGCGCCTGTCGCCTCGCTCACTCATCGCAACAGCCATCTTCTTCACCACCGCCCTGCTGACCGCGAATTTCGTCAACGGAGGCCAGAACATTCCGCCCTGCCCATCCGGTATCCCCTGTTATACCCCCGTGTACCCGTCGGTCGAGGAGGTCGCGTTCATGGTCACCGCTACCGCTCTGACCCTCGTGACCAACTTCGTAATTGTTCCGCGGGTGCTGGACCGGTCGACGAAGTCGAGGACGATCTTTTCGTACCTGGCCGGGCTGCAGTTCGGTCTGGGACTGTTCGTCTCCGGAATGGCTGATCCGGCGAAAGTCCTCCGCTTTTTCGCCGTGCTTACCGATTCGTCTCGCTGGGACCCTTCGCTTGCGCTCATTATTCTGTTCGGAATCGGCCCGTCGCTTGCGACTTACTTATCCGTGAAGCCTGGCCAGCGAAAGGGAGAGGAACAGGAGGAAGAGGAGTCCGCTAAACCTACCCTGGCGGATAAATGGAGACTGCCTACATTGACTGTGGCGGATATTGACTGGCGGTTTGTGACTGGAGCGGCGGCATTTGGTCTTGCCTGGGGCTTACAGGGGGTATGTCCGGGCCCTGCGATTCTGCGTACGGTGCTCCAGCCGACATGGGGCCTTGCGGCGATGACAGGGTATATGTTGGGCAATCTTTTCTAAAAGTAAGATAGAATGGCAGATAGCCCTTCAAGCAGGCCAGCTGCGAATTGATAGATTGAGGTATAGAATATCACCCAAAACTCCTTAGTTACATGATGGACTGTTGACATAATGTATAACTTGCCGACCTTAAATGCTAGGCAGACCAATTGACCGTCAGCGCAGCTCAATTCAATAGCAATCCATGGATACGACAGTACATTGTGTAACATAAATTGTATACAACAAGAGGTCATAATGGCCTGGCTTACAATTCAGTTTTCCTCTCCGGATCAGATCGCTTCTTCTTGGGTTGCGCCTCACTGCCAGGCATGAAGCCCTCCAGCTCCATCCACTCGGCTGCAAATGCGGTAAAGAGCATGCTCCAGTCTTCCACCGTGTCCAGATCCAGATGTTCACCGTCGTCATCCATCGAGTGCCAGACCTTGGGGAACCCCGTCATCGGCGAAGCATCGATTACGTGTAGGATTTCCACGCCGCGCGCAAGAAACGGGATATGGTCATCTCCTATGCCCGAGGAGGTGGTCAGCTGATGCTCGTTCTTCGCGCCGTCAGCGAACCACTGCCGTTCGGAAGCGTCCCCTGAGAAAGACTTAAATTGCTTCAGATCGCGGAACCGCTTCTCGAGCGTGGCCAGATTCTTGTAGGCCCAGTGCGTCGTCGCGAAGTAAGACTGGATATAGGGGTTCTTGCTACCCAGTAGATCGAGCAGTACAAATAGCGAGATAGACGAGAGCGGAGTCTTGTAGACCGACATGGCCGGGTGGACTTGTGAGTCCCAGTGTTCGGCGAGAGAGCGCGCCCCATATAGCGAATCGGTCGCCGTCCAGAGATGGAATGCCTCCTCGCCGTCCAGGAAGAGTACCTGTATACCCTTTTGGTCTTCCAGGGTTGCGTCTGTTCGGCCCTGCGCCTGCATGGCCTCCCACTTCTTCGACAGGGCCGCGTCAATGCTGCGCATTGCGTGCATGATGATCGCGCACGGGGCCGCGCTATCGATGGCCCCGATGAAACCCTCCGGTGTGTATTTGCTGTCGTAGTGTGCGACGAGCGTCAGTCTGCCCACGTCGCCCACTGAGGCCCAGGGAGGATCGCGCGAGGCGATGAAGTTGACGAACGGAACTTCCTTGCCATGGGAGACGGGCGTTTTCGACGTAGAGTTCTGGAACTCGATCTTCCAGTTTGGCAGAGATGTGCGGAAGAAATCCACAAAGTGATTGAGCACCGCTGTGGAGCCGGGGGTGCCAGGGACACGGGGCCGCAGGATGGGGGCCAGTAGTGCTCCGTTGTGGATATCAAAGTCGCTATACGGTCGTGGCAAGGCTTTCAAGGTCTCATCTGAGATCGACTCGTACGCTCCTGCGGGGAGTAGCAGAAATGGCAGCGTGAGGCATATCGTAAGTAGCCAGCGAACAAGGCCACCATAAGCCGAAACCATGGCGACTTTAGGATGATGCTAGCAGGCTTTCATGGCAAGTGATCATCGACCTTGGATTGTTTTCAATATATTTGAGACTTACTGGCTTCAGGAAGCCCGGATACTCTCACAATTCTGACATTGGGCACCAAAAGACATCTAATCAAGGGAATTGTAGACAGTCGAGACAAAGCAAGGAGGACAATCAATCCGCGCCAAGAAGGCCTGGATAAGTCGGCCGGCGGGTAAATTAGACAAGGCCCGTTGCGGAGATCAGCCGCGCAGTCATTCCGTCATTCCCTCGGATTTTCCGTTTAATCATTGAAATTGTCAGTCGGTCGAGGCTGTTTCCTACCATTCTTTATTTGGTGTAAATCGATTGACGATATACGTCAGTATATCTCAAGATGAGAATCCAATGCTTCCTCCACCCACAATTGCGCGCAGCGCTTCCCCGATCTGTGCAGAGAGATCTCAGTAGCAGATTATTTACTCGGGTCAAGACGACTCAGAACGCATTCAAAGGAAACGGATCACCTGCTGTGAAACCGAAAGAGAACAATGGCAGCCTGACCGGCTCCAGTGCTTCTACGAACTCCCCGACGACACACGCAAAGACCACCATCAGACGAGGTAGCGGGATACCCTGGACCAAGCTCAACCGATATTCTGGACATGATGCTAAAAGCAAGCTTATAGGACCTCCAGAACGGATACTGATCTATCATGGCGGGACGGGAAAGGTCATATTCCTGGGCATGTTGCGTATCACGACGATATTTCTCTTTGGAGTCTCTTGCCTTGTCGTGGCTCCAGCCTTTTTCTCTGACGACTACCCATGGTATATAGCTCCGGCTGGTAAGTTGCGGGAATCCTCGAGCAGAAATGTTGTGGCTGACCTCCAATAGTGATTGTCGGCGGCGCGTTACCGATGCTCTTCGTTGCTTACACTTCTGCCCCGTTTGTGAACTTTGTACACCTCGCGCTTCCCGTCTTTGCTCGTCGTTCGCGGGAGCAGACCCTACAGTATGCGAAGAACTTACCTCCAACAGCCACGTTATATATCAATACTATGAAGTTCACGACGATCCCGCGGCAGACCGAGGTGCGATTGGGAGACCTGGTTCGTGACAAGGCCTTGTTACGGCCAGTGAGCTTCCGAAATACAAACCCAGCTCCTCTACCTTGGTGGGCAGGTAGGACATTGAGGCAATTCTACACGGCAGAAAAGAGTCAACCAGGGAAAGAGTCCTCCACATTTTATCCTGAACTGTGGGAGCATGTATACAGGCAGATTCCAACCTCACCACGACCAAGGCTAAGTTAGAAGATCTGAAAATTGAAAAAGAAAGCAACACATACAAGCAAATTACCTAGCATATTCCCTGTAATTTAGGAGATTTCCTTGCCACACTTCTGAAACACTCAGAAGACAAATTTCTGTCATTAGAGCGGGACCTGAAGGCTGGATTCTACTCTCACTTCAGCATTATTCACACGACGACATAGCCAATTCTCACCCTCGCCTCACATTTCTCTTTATCTGACTTGTGTTGCGTCTGACTCTGTGTTTCTCCTTCATCATACTGTTCTAACTCACTCACAGACCCTCTCACTAGCACTATATCTGCTGCTCCTTCTTCTCCTCTCTCTCACTTCTCTTCCTACAACTTCCTTTATCATTGTGCGCTTCCTATTTCTCCTCCAGCCTCCATACTTTTTTTCTCACCTTACAGAACAACTCTCTACTTTCTCGATCCTTTGCCTCTCCAACAACAACCATGGCCACCCCAGCAAAAGCCAAACCTGAGGGCATCTTGGGACTCTCTGCCGCCGAAGCCAAGATCCTCATCCTAGGCTTTCTCTGCATCACAGACCAATACAAGGTAGACATCTGCCCCTGAACTACTAGACAACATGAGCCACATAGCTAACAATCCCCTAGATCGACTACGAGAAGCTCGCCAGCAAAGGCGGCTACACAGCTGGCTCTGCGAACGTTATGTTCAACAAGGCCAAACGCAAGCTCGTCGAGCTCAACCCCGACAACAGCACCGAGAATGGCTCTTCCGCTGCCGGCGAAGCCTCGTCCTCGAAGTCCGCAACGGCCACGCCCAAGAAAGGTCAAGCTAAGCGTAAGAAGGCTGCCGCAGGTGCGGAGGATGGCGGTGCCGACGGCGAGGAAGCTGCAACGCCTACCAAGCCCAAGCGGCAGAGAAAGACGCCTGCGAAGAAGGGGGCGGCTGCTAAGGCTGGAGCTGACAATGTTGAGAATGGGTACGTTACTTGGCTCATCCGCTTCATCTCTTTCGACGTGAAGTTACCTAACTCATGGTATTCTTGACAGAAACAGTGCCCCTGAAGTCAAATCCGAACCTTCCAAGTCCGAAGACATCATCAAAAATGAAATGGAGGAAGGCAATAATGATGACTCGGAGCTCACGATCAAAGCTGAGCTTGACGAGGTCATGAACGATGCGGACCTCGATGCAGAGCTCGACGCTTTGGATGCTGCCCAGGGGGCCGTGAAGGCGGAGGATCACACTGCATAGATCGTGTTCCGATCCCTAATGACTGATGGCATGACAACACTCAAGTGAAATTGGCTTATGACTGTTGTTTCTTCATTTACGCACTTTTCTTTTGATCGACAGCTGTTCTTTCAGTCCTCGGAGTTGACGCCGCGGTGGACTACCATGGGATGATGGGTGCTCCTGCTTAGCTAGATGAGAAGATACCCTGAATAGTCAACGCCGTTTTGTTTCCTGATTTAAACGCTATCTTTACATAAATCCTTAATAACTCGGGTCTTCAAGAGGCGAGATGATAAAAGAGTCATCGATGTTGCGACACGAATATATTGCGTTGAAATATACTGTAACTAAATGCACATCATTCGACACCATTTTGCATAATGGTCCACGATTCTCTAGCATTGAGTGATATATATCCCGAAATGCTCCCTGACCTCATTTGTCGATCTTTCGGTCCATACAGTAAGAATAACTCCGGCGCCATACCCCCACTCCACGAAGCAAATGACAGGAATCAATTGACAGCGGTAACGAAACGTCCATGCGAACCTTTACTAATGACCTCCACTTTCGATAGCTCAAAGAGCTTCGATAGCTTTGCGGAGTACCTCAAGGCTCAAGTCGGAGACGCTCTCGCTGCTGGGAGTGTCGGCAGCGGACTCGCGAAGAGCCCAGGCGACGTCACTCCACCACCCCAAGCCAATGAACCCGCCGCCCTTCCGGCGCTCAAGGCTTTCCTTGAGACGACTTGTGTGCTCCCACTGCTTGGCAGCCATTTCGGCTGTCTCGATGACCTTGTTCGGGATACCGCACATGGACGCGCAATGCATACCAAAGCTACCTTCAGCAACGCCGTCCTCCAGTTTGTACAAGAAAGTGATACGTCTTTCCTGATCATCGACATGGATTTTCATGCGTTTGGGTGTGATCTCGGGATGACCATCGAACTCCGCAGTGAGAGAATGATAGTGAGTCGCAAAGAAGCCCATTGCTCCAATGTGAGTGGCGACGTGATGCAGCACTGCCTGAGCAACAGCGACACCATCATAGGAACTAGTCCCACGGCCAAGCTCATCGAGAATGACGAGCGATCTCGGTGTAGCTTCAGACAATATCTTCTTCGTCTCTGAGAGCTCCACGAAGAATGTGGACTGGGCTGCAAAGATGTTGTCATTCGCACCCAAACGGGACATGATACGATCAACAGGTGTCAACCGAGCGGACTGGCAGGGTAGGTAACAGCCGATTTGTGCCATGATAACAGCGACACATGTCTAGAGCAATAAAAACAGTTAGTCCATCTTTTGTAGAGAAAGTAAAGGAACGATTGCCTGCTTACCATTCGGAGAACCGTGGATTTTCCGGCGGCGTTAGCTCCAGTGAGAAGATTGAGATTCGGTGCTTCGCCTCCCAGACGCACGTCATTGGGAATAAAGTCTTCCACCGACGAGAGAAGGCACGGGTGACGCAGCTCCTCAAATTCAAGCACACTCCGTTCGTCTTCGACAAAGACAGGGCGGCAGCTTGGATGGCCCAGCGACGAAGCGGCTTTGGCCAAACTTATCAGACAATCCAGTTGTGAGATGATTCGGACGGCTGCAAGCCATGTCGTGTAGTTCTCATCGAATCGTGCGTAGAATCTACCAGCGACTTCCTTGACGATCTGACTGTGTGTTTCCTGGGCCTCTTGCAATTTGCGAATGAGAGACCTCAGTTCGGGAAAGTAATAACGCTTCACCTGTTTCGTGGCCGACATCTGGTCCCAATTTTTAGGGATATTCTTCACCTTGATTGGCACCTCGAGCTGATAAATTTCTTTTCCATTGTCACGATAACAGATGGCTGTGGAGCCCAACTCACGGCGTTGGCGTTTGAGGAGGTTGTCAAGGTCCCGGTGCAATTGTTCAATACGCTCTTGGGAGGTGTCAAAGTCTTCCTCAACACCTGGTTTGGGAACCAGGATGCCATTTTCCTTCGCTTTAGTGCGGTCGAAAGCTGTTTTCCAATATTCCAGCAGAGAACTCAAGTCCGGCATCCCGCTAATCAGCTGCCCAATGACTCCTTCTCCCGAAGAGCCACTATCCTTGAGGAGAGTGATTGTGTATTCAATCTGCTCGAATCCTTCCAGCACACGCACAAAATCTTGCGCTTTGCAGTTGGCTGCATGGATACGGGAAATAAGTCGCTCGAGATCAGGCATCTTGGTCAGCTGGGAAGAGAACTGGTCTCGAACGCTTGAGTCAGCGTTCAGGGCGTCAACGGCGTCCAACCTCGCATTAATTTTCTTTGCATCCATCAATGGATGGCAAACCCATTGCTTGAACATACGCTTGCCGAAAGGGGTAATGCAGCGATTTAGAAGCTGAAAGAGCGTCCCCTCTGAGCCACCATCAAATGAGTTGGCGAATATTTCCATGTTGATTAGGGTTTGGCCATCAAGAACCAAGCTGGAGGCCTTCCTGATAGGGTCATACCACGAGAAGTTACCTATCGTGATCAGATCGCGGTCGAGTTTCAGAACCCTGAGATATTGGACCAAGGCTCCGAACGCAGACATTACCAATTCCTTGTCTCGAGCCTCTCGTAGGGTGTCCGGCCAGGCTTGCAAGTTATCGTCATCTTGAGAGACAAAGTATTCGCTAGCATCGAGCTCCTTCACAGTTATATCTGCCTCCCAAAACTCTTTTCCAGGCTTCAAGTGGTTCCAGATGGTGGTGGGTCCAGTGTTGTTTTTCAAAATGCGCAGAGCCTTCTGAGAAATCGTGGACTTCTCCAAAAGCAGTTCTTGGGGACGAGTCTGTGCGACGAATGTCTCGAACTTGGTCATATCAACATCATCCGCAAATTCCGACAGAGAGAATTGGCCAGTAGCTGTATCCACAAACGCGAGCCCAAAAGCAGGACGGTCGTCTATAATGGCTTCCTTGATCGCAACGCAATAGGTAGACATATCGTCCTGCAGCATAGAGCCTTCAACCAATGTGCCAGCCGTAAGGACACAGGCTAATTCTCTCTTTATGATCTTGTCTTCTTTCCCGCCAGCCTTCTTTCCGTCTCTCTCGCGCATTTCTTTACCCAGTGCAGATTCAGACTGGTCCACACGGGCAATCTTGAAACCTTTGGCCACGAATTGATTGGCCCAGTGATCTAAGCTCATCTCAGGCACACCGACCATCCGCATGTTGACACGATCCGTGAGCTTTAAATCAAATAATTGGTGACCGATTGTAGCGTCGTTCTCATACAGCTCGTAGAACTTGCCCTTCTTGAAAAAGACAACCGTGTCCCAGAATTTTTGCTTGATCTCCCAGTACTGCTTCTCAAAAGGAGAAAACTTTGCCCAAGCCAGTGGGGGTATATATATAGTGCGAGGGTCATAGTCGGGGTGATCTGGTGGGTGTCCATCTATGTCCCGAAGGTTTGCGAGCCAAGGATACCGCTCTTCAGGTTCCCTGAGATGCACTTTCTGCTTGGCAGGAGTGGCGGTACTTTTCGGCGTAGCTTGTATTGTCCGGTTCTGGCGGCGTTCCTGATTCTCAGGATCATAGGTCCACTTCAGAGCTGTGCCTGAGGAGGCATCCGGGCCATCCAAGTCGAGGTCTTCTACGGGAGAAGGAGGAGCGGGAAGAGAGGAGGCCTTGCGAGTCGTTGCATCCGACGGTCTCTTACGCTTCTTGGATGGCTTGGCTTCTTCATCGGAGTCGTCCGCAACGATAAAGTCATCCATCTCTGCTAGTCGGTTAGTCCCAACAGCACAATAACGGCCGCAGAGCAGTCCTGTAACTAACCGTCATCTGAATAGCCCACCTCACCACCTTGCTCAAATTCATCTTCGCTCTCTGGAGAAATCTTGCGTCTTTTAGAGGTCCGGCTGTTTCGTCTATTGGGCCCGAATATCACATCATCGTCGTCTTCACCCTCAGATTCGGATTCAGCATAACTGATCTGTTTCTTGGCCTATAAGACGCGGTTAGTGACTGCGTTTACCAGGTATCAACTGCAAATAAAACTGCACAGATAGACTTACGCGACGGGAGGGCGAAGAAGTTTTCTTTTCTGCGTCCTGTATGTGTGCAAGAGCAATTAGCAACTTGTCAACCTAGCATACGTTGCAGCGTCCGAAACATCAGCATACCTGAGTTCTATCCTCATCCTCCTCAGGCAGGACCAAGTCACTGCTCGGGACAGGAGTCAGGTTTTGTGTGAACCTGGGTAAGCTCTTCTTCTCAATCTTCGATGTCGCTTTGATGGAATTCGCCTCGCGCTTCTCAGACGCCCTCTCTGCGGGAGACGAGGCAGGTTCTGTGTTACGCGCAGCAGATGGCGCCGATGGCGAGGACTTCTGGAAGAAACCCAGAATAGACCGCTGGTTCTTCATGTTTTGTGTGCTGGAGGTGGATCGTTTCAGCGCTCCGGAGGGAGGTGTCGCCGTGGTGGGAGAGGATGCGGCACCGGCTCCTCTGGCCATTCTGACGAAAACTCAATGGTCGGCTGGTACAATGTGGCAATTAAGATGATGTATAATCCATGCCGAAGATGATAGAAAGCAGCTGGATAGAAAGGCAATGCGAATGTTGATAGAGCTCCCAGGACGGAAAAATGGCGGATCGTCCGATAAGGAGGCGTCACGCAGCGCGTCGACGCGTTTAGTGGGCTTATCTACTCCGTAGAGAGGTACTCATCATTTCTTGGCTTCCCCAATGGGCTATCCACTCTCGAAACACTAATTCAGCAATTCAGGTCAACTAACGCAGTACTTGGCGCAGAAAATATTCTGCTGGATATATCTTTGTACGGAGAAACTCGCATATAATCCGACGGAGAAGAGAAAATTCTGAAGCATATACTTCATTAGGGAAGCTACAATATCCTCTTATACTCTCCCGCAACGGGTCGCGATCAATGGCATGACAAGTCGGGCGGCATTGTCATAGGCATGGATCAAGCATAATAAAGCAGTTTTTTGAACACAAGCACAGGATCTCCCATTGTTCCTATCCCTTACCCTTCCACAACTGATGACGATGTCTCCGACCGACCTAAGGAGCGCACTCCAAATTCTGGTGACTTCGGCTGGCTGATGCCTAATAGCAAGCCCAGGCTTGAGCAATCTTCGCTCCTCCGTTGCAATTGATGGTACGAGATTCGAACTTGCAGTTGCTGTTGAACTGTCCGTTGCGGAAGAGGGTCAGCCCATTTCCACCGCAGCCTTCAAAGCGGAAAGGCCCGTTGTTGCCGTCAACATAGAAGTCTCTTCCACAGGGGTTGCTGTCACTGTCGACAACGGTGGTGAAACCGCTGCAGGGTTCTGGAGTGCCGTTGGTCCTGATTTGGAGACCTGGTCAGCGTTTGTGATCGTGTCAGGACATCGTATGCGCTCAAACATACCAGGCCACCTGGGATTTGTGTCCATCATAGTTGGTGCGCGATCCCAGGTACACGGTGGCGTTGACAGAGGTGGCCGCTAGAAGGGCAGCGAGGCTGAGAACGGAGAAGTGCATATTGTCTGAAGCGAGATGCTGGTTGTGATTCGGTCTTGTTGTTTGAACTGATTTGAGTCTGATGATGCTGTTGTTGAGAATGAAGTTGCTGTGGGAAATGAGCTGCTTTTATACCTTTGCATTCAGCCATGAAGATCTATTGATGGTAAAGCTGACCTTCATTCTGTCAATCCTGAGCTCCGGGCCAAAAGTTTCATCAATTGTAATTATGACAGTGGGTGCGCCATCGCCACCTTCGCTCCCTGCATCCCGACCACTTTCTCTTTGTAGAAACTGGTCTACTGGATGCTGACAGACATCGATTTCACAGCACCTTCGCTCCTGCATTCCGACCACTTTCTCTTTGTAGAAACTGGTCTACTGGATGCTGACAGACATCGATTTCACAGGGGCCACCCGACGCTTGAGGATTTGAGACTGGCCTGACGCTGCACCATCGCAAATTGAGTGCTACGGCTGTAAATGGTCCCATTGTGGAGTATCGCAGACAGCCAAGATGTTACAATCCGTCAAACGCATGTGCATACAACGTGTCATTGGAGTCTTTAGTCGACATCGAGTGCCTCCGAGAAAACTGTTCAGAAGGCATGGTGAAGCTGCAGATGTTCCTCCAATCAACTCTCTATTGGCAGCGGTCTAGACTTAGATATGTTGTGACGCACCTCAGACTCAAACAATCACGCAGTCATGCAGATTGTGTAAATGCCCTCCTATTTCCAGCTGCTTGGCTATTAGATAATCATCACAAACACGATGATTAACCACAAAGGCATCGGCGCCAGGGCTCATATTAAAGAAATGATCTCATTGCTGTAGTTTCAGCGGTAGGTTCCCCTCTTAATTGGGTAAGCTGTAGCATACTGGATGTAAGATGTACTTTGGATGGTATGATGATCAAGGGTCCCATTTGCATGACAAACATCCAAAAGCCTCATGTCTTGGCTTTCCGTGTGACTTGAAAGTCAGCATGTGCATACGGCGTTGCCGAGTCACCTGCATAGTAATCAAATCTTTCCCAGCGGGGGTGCTGTTGGTCGGTATCGAAGAAGCGGTGTCTCAAGGGTCTGCCAAGTTCAATAGCTCTCTCTGCTTACGTGCATGGTGTGCCCAAAGTACTAGTGGCAACGCAAGTTCAATATCCGAGAAGAATTTGGGATGTAATCTATATCGCTAGTATATTTACAGGTCTGTCTAAAAATACATGCATGAAGTAGACTGCCTCATGTTGACTTCACCTCCGTTGTCTTTTCAGCGGCCGACTCTGATTCCGACTTCTCCAGCTCCCAACCAGGAGCTGTAAGTCCGCGCTCTTTGAACTCTTCATCGCTGACGATCTTTACCATCCGGAACTTCCATTTACCAAGCTTCAGAAGCAAAAGATCCCCGTCGATGATGTACTCCTGCGTCTTTTCCGGAAGCCATGTCTCAATGGGCGTGAAGGACAGGTCATCGGACATGGGCCCACTGTCTCCTGGGCGACTTCCTACATAGGCGCCCTTATTCGCGACAATGCGATGGCCTTCGCTTTTTGAGGAGACCAGTCCTGCATGCCACAAGATCTTGTGGAATGGCTGGTTATAGACCAGGGAGCGGGGAAGAGTGACATGGGGGCTGCTCATGTTGGCGAAGTTGGTCTGGGGAGCGTATTTGTTCCCAGACTGAGGATTGGCATAGCCTGCAGCGGGCGAATTTGCATGGCTGCTAGGCGGGCTGGTCACCTTGGGCATAGGACTAGGTTCAGCCGTCGAAGAGCGTGGCCGAAAAAGCTGACGATGTTGTAAAGCAACTGCGTCAGCCTCTTCCTTTCCGTGAATCAGCTCCAAGAATTCGGTAGCCAGTGCATGCTGAGCAATTCGCTTTGAAGGATCTTTATTCTGCTCTTCCATGATTTCGGCAATCTTAGGCAAAGGCAGAAACGTGAACAGTTTCAGATAGCGCTCAACAACCTCATCTGGTGTTCGAACGAAGAACTACTCATAGTTAGTGATTCCTGCATGGGCCGTCCAGGATCTAGATAGGCTCACCTGGTACAGCTCGAACGTAGAAGTCATGTCCTTATCCAACCAAACGGCATTACCGGCAGACTTCCCAAACTTTTCACCGTTTGCTGCTGTTAATAGTGGCGTAGTGAACCCAATGGGTTTGTCTAAATCATCCTCCAGAGGATTTCGGTCCTGTTCCATCGCAGTGTTTTTGCTGATCGACTTCACGGCATCCATGCCGAAGAGGATATTCCCATATTGATCGGAACCTCCAACTTGCACCTGAACACCTTTCCGGAACAGCACCCACCAGTCCCATGCCTGCAGTAGGGGATATGTGAACTCCGCAAAAGACATTCCGTCACCTTTGGTCATCCGGTTCTTCACACTTATAATCATCGAGATCAGTAATCATATGCCCCAGCGAATGAAGGATAGCAATTAGACTCACGTCTCTCTACCCAGCATGGGACCAAGCCGCGTATGGGCGCCCAGGTCCCGTAGCACTTCTAAGAAGGATGTTGAATTCCACCATGTGTTGTTGTTCACCAGAGCTCGCCGCCAGATCTTCTCTTTGTGCCATCCATGTTTCTTGCCGTATTGCTCCACAGAAGCCCCCAACTTTTTCAGCTGCATGTGCATGCTCGCCATATTTGCTTTTCGGACCGAAGAATCCATTGCCTCTCGTCCTTTCAACCTCCCAGTGGGATCACCGACTCTAGAAGTAGCCCCGCCGAGCTGCTGTGTATCAGCCATGCTGTCTTACGTCGATTCAGGTGTCAGGGCGAGGAAAGACTGACCAGATAGGTGACAGGTAGACCCCACACATAACCCCAGGCCAGCACCATGAACGGCAGCATATGGCCAACATGTAAGGAGGGAGCTGTTGGGTCTACTCCGACATAGATCCCGACTCTCTTCTCGGTAAAAACCCGGTGTAGTAAGTCGCGCTCACTGTAGTTTCAAGTCATTTCCATCAGCTGCTACAACGAGAACTTGGTTGCATTTAGGTACCACTCACCCGACGACATCATGGATCAACCCTCTCTCTTCTAGATGTTCAACGAAGCTTTTCCGCTTCCCAGCCTTAATCTCCGCAGCGAACTGAGCCCACTGCTCCTCCCCAGCCTTCACCTTTTGTATATGTTTCTGGGTAATCCACCTTTTTGACTCCGTCACCGGCGACCGTATCGATGAAGTGACAAAAAAGCGGTGTTCTTGAGCTCCTAAGGAATATTTCCGCGCAATCTGAGCAGTGCGCATGTAGCTGCGCGCACCGTAGCCCGTCTGCATTGCTGTCTTTAGAGTAACCGGAATGCGCAAGCGTCCTGCACGAGGCAGAGACAACAATTGCGGCTTCATTGTTCCAACCTGGAACTGGCACTCAATCAACCGCAAGGTAAAAGCGGTTAATTGGCGTCAATTTGGAGCCGCGAAGCGTATAACCCGACCTCCCGGGCCACGAAATTTATCACTATCGGCGATGATAAGAAGCCGATCAACTGCTCTCTCCAACGGATAAATATTAATGCGGAGTTGCTCCAAAAAAGGTCAATATTCGTAAATAACTGCGTTGAGCTTAGGGATCCAATGTAAATATGAATTTTCTTTTTCGCAAGGATGACAAATAGGAGGTTCAAGGTGACTACGTTTATATAGGACAAACAGCAACTGGATGGAAGGTAAATGTGTTGAACAGATAGACTGCTGGAAACGCCTTAAAAGTCGACAGCGCAAAAAAGAGGACCTGGTGGAAGTAGGTAATCAATTGCATGGTTCAATTATTTCAGCTAGTCTAACATTGCGAGTTCACTCTCATGTCCGAAGATTCCTATCATGAATGTGCTACGGCACCGCGAAAGGGCGATAGCACGTTTCTAGGATCCTAGGCCACATAGAAGCTCCATGGAGGAGCAAACACCACCAAGTAATGTGTTTGGGATCAGAGATGCCTTCATCGCGTCCGTCGAAGTAACAAGGAGATGTGCCGAACGCCTTTATCATCCTCCCTCCATCCCGAGTCAAGCAGCCCTTGAACCCCGAAGGGAGAGCCACAAGGCTCAGAGAGGAGCGATAGATCAAATATAACACACTAGGCTTTCATCATCTAAGAGGATATGTTAGAAAATCATTCTGTGCGATTCTGGTAGCGGAATCTTGAGAGCTATAACTCACCTGTACAAAACTTGGAAGGATGAAGAAAAAAGGAAAATAACTAGTGTGGATCCTGGAGGTTTTATATTTTGTAGTGGGCTACGAGACGCTATTCCCAATCGATTGAGCGGTGCATTTCTGCCAGATAAGCTTGCGATACCTTCAACAATATGGAGATCAGACCGGATGTCTTTTGATCATGGCTGATTTGACGTCAATTTGGAGCGCATTGATACCAGCTCTATTGTCCATTGGAGTGACTATTATAACTGCAGCTTTTTATAACCTCTCCATCAAACCCGGCTCGGTATGCTTCTGAGCAATGTGGGACGTTATTCACCTCGTCTCCGCACGAGCTATATTGAAATCTCCAATTACCTCCGCAGTCGGCCATCAGGACTGCCCAATGGACTGAGAACTCTCTCTCCTGTTAGGGCCTTTCACAGGAGACGTTGCTTGCTCGAACAGCAAGACAGTCCTAATTCACCTCGACACTTTTTGGAACAGTATAAAAAAGCCGGTATGAACAACCCGTCCTGTCGCATTTTACCACAGTTCTCGTTCTGCACAGAGCTAAATGCTAAATTTCGTTCGACATAGTTGAGTTCCCGCCAGCCACGAGCGATTTTGAGACCTTCCTCGCAAATGCATCTGCAGGACAGGAGGTCCAGGTTCATGGATACCTGGGACCCCGCGCCGACCTTTCCAAAAAGCTATCTTTTGCTCGCCTGACCGATCCAACCATGAAACACAGCATTCAGCTTGTCTCATTTATTAAGAACAGCCCTCTGGAGAAGTTCAGATCCATTAATGCTAACAGTCCAGTGGTTGTACGCGGCATCGTGCAGCCAAAAAAGGGAAAAGGATCAGATACCGAGAAAAGCGACTGCTGGGAGGTGCACATTGTGGACATTGATCCTCTGAATGAATTTCCAAAAGACATTATTATGACTCCAGGGACTGCATTTGCTCCGGAACACAGATATCTTCAACTGCGCTCCGACAGTGAACTCCGGGATGCCCTACGATTCCGCGCTCAAGTTCGCAATATATGCAGGGAAGAGCTGGAACAATGTCGACCTCCTTTTGTGGAGATCGAAACGCCTCTTCTTTTCAAGTCAACTCCGGAAGGTGCTCGCGAGTTCTTGGTGCCGACTCGGAGGCGTGGTCTGGCTTACGCTTTGCCCCAGAGCCCTCAGCAATATAAGCAGATACTTATGGCAAGTGGTATCCCAAGGTACTACCAGTTTGCGCGCTGTTTCCGTGACGAAGATCTCCGAGCGGATAGACAACCGGAATTCACTCAGGTGAGCATTGAATCTTGTTATCCACCTTCATACTTACTGCGGTCTAACATAAGCTCCTCGCTCAGCTCGATCTGGAAATGTCTTTCGCTACAGGAGAGGATGTCATGCGGACTGTTGAAGGGATAATCCGCAGACTTTGGTCCACCTTGATGAAAGATGAAGCGCCCTCCGGACCGTTCCGGAGAATGTCATACCAGGACGCAATGAGCCACTATGGGTCAGACAAACCCGATACAAGATTTGGAATGGAGATTTTCAAGATCGACTATCTTCTACCTGTCGACCTGGTCAACAAGATCACTCCCTTGACTGACCCCATCATCGAGGCCTTCAAATTCGAAGGCAATAACAATGACCCCATCGCCACCTACGACTTCATCAAGCAATTCCTCGACTCCCCAGCTGGCGCTCCATTCAACAACAATCCTGAAGGTGGCCCGGGGGTCTTCGTGTACGACGCCAAGAAACCTTTGTGTGGCCTCCAGCCATTCGGCTTTGAAGCTGCTGAACGCATTGAGGAACTCCTGGGTCCCGATCACGGCGATCTGATTGTCATCCAAGCCCGTGAAAGAGCACCCTTTGCCGGTGGCTCCACCCCAATCGGCGATCTTCGCCGCGCACTTCACACCGATGCAGTCTCCGCCGGATTCAAGCCTGCCCCCACGGGGTTCGACTTCCTCTGGGTTGTCGACTTCCCCCTGTTCTCGCCCTCCAGTGATTCGGAACCAGGTCAGGGCGGTGCAGCGGGCATCTCATCCACACACCACCCCTTTACCGCACCCAAGACCGCTGCAGACGTCGACCTGCTCCTGACAGATCCCACAAAGGCGGTGGCCGACCACTACGACCTCGTCGTGAACGGGGTCGAATTGGGCGGTGGCAGTCGCCGTATCCACGACGCAGCCGTGCAAGAATTCATCCTACGAGATATCCTTCAAATGAGGCCTGAGAGGCTGGTCGACTTCTCCCATCTGCTGGATGCCTTGCGGGCCGGGTGTCCACCGCATGCTGGACTGGCCCTCGGCTTCGACCGCCTCGTCGCCGTCATGCTGGGCAAGGAGTCGGTGCGGGACGTCATTGCATTCCCTAAGACGGGCAAGGGTGGCGATGATGCCATGGTTAAGGCTCCTAGCTTGATGACGGAAGAAGCATTAGAAACCTATCATCTCCGTCTAAGAGATGAATGAGTGTAATGGTAAGCGCGTATGAAGACGCACTTGCTGCAAACCACTCAGCTGAATTGTACATTAGTATAGACATGATACCCAATCTCTTCTCACGGGTTTTTCTGGGAGGGTCTGTAAATAGATGTCTCACAAATACATTGATATAGTCATTATTTTGAGTACTATGGCCAAGTCAAGCAGAATTTCGTATCTCAACGAAGACGGGGGAGGTTCGAAACATCTGGCATCGGTGAATAAGGCAGAGCGGGGACGATATAGAATTCAATTTTATCAGGTGAGGTAGAGGGCGTGCTATAGCGCCAGCCCTTCTGGGAAATTGCCGTAGAGAAAACCACCTGGATCAATTCAAGTTGGGCTATATCTACAGGTAGAGGATCATCATGGGTGGAAGTTTAAACAAAAGTGTTATACAACGACGCCAGCCTCCCATGCCAAAAAGGCAGTCTAGTATAATAAAATGCTGTAACAGGATCAATATCAGTGTCGAATTGCGCTGATAAATCGAAAGGAAGAATCACGAGCTACTTGTCTTCGCAGGTATCATCCTGCGCTCCGTCTCTACCACTTCATCGTCATCTTCGTAGAGATAGTCGTCCTGGTCTTCCACTGGCTGGCCAAAAATATTGTTCCAAACACCATCCCAGAGACCTTTCTTCGTGACCAGACCGCCGACAAGGAGGATCGGCAGCTGCCAAATACTGGCCCAGAAGAGTCTTCGAGCAGTGCCGTTGGCGCCCTGATGCTGCCAGAATTTGTAGGCCTCTTTGACTAGCCAGCCATTCGCAACGGTGCTGCCAACCAGGAAACCATTACCGACAACCCCGACCCACCAGAGACCGATGGAGAATGGGAACATGAGAATAGAATATCGTAGTGCGACACGGGCATTTGCAGCGGGATTAGTCCAAGCGAGCATCCTGTACCCGGCTGCTTTGTACTCCTCACGGATCATGTAGGACAAAGCATTGAAATGAGGAAATTGCCATGCGAAGAGAATGCCACCCAGGAGCCAGCCACCAATGCTGTCCTTGCTGAACAACATATCCCGCCAGCTGTCATGGCCGGTGGTCGCTGTCTGACCTGCCGCAGCGGTCCAACCCATCAACGGAGGAATGCCTCCTACCACGGCCCCCACCCAGGTGTTGATCACGGATATACGCTTCAGCGGCGTATATACAAAGGCATACAGACAGATATTACCGGCTGAAAGCGCGGTAGTCGTAGGGTTCGTTCCAATGTATAGCAAACCCAGGCCTGTAGCAGCAGTCGCAATCGCGAATAATACCGCAGCACGACGTGACAGCAACCCGCGCACTAACGGCCGGTTCCGTGTCCGTGACATGAGAGCATCGTATTTAGGTTCAAGGAGCATATTCAAAGTATTGGCGCTGCATGAGGACAAAAAGGTTCCCGCGGTTAGGTAGAGAAAGGTCAAGGTTGAGGTTGAGAGGGTCGGTAGAGGAGTCATTGAAGGGTCAAGTGTGAGAAGAGAGGAGATCGGGTACATTCCATATGCGGAGGTGGTCGTCAATACGATCAGGAACGAGAGACGAGGCTTCGTGAGGGCGAGAAACGCGGCCAACTTGCGGCGCAGGGAAGTCACAGGGAGGGCTGATGAGAGGGTGGACAGTTGCGACGAGGCATCAGGAGGGAGTTCGGATTCTGCAGTATTATCCTTGGCCGCCTCTTCCTTTAACCGCTTCCTCCGGCGATGAGGTAACTCTTGTGAGGTAGATTGTGAAGCAATCGACTCCGAACCGGCCGCATTCTGTGATAATGCATTGTCGGCAATACTTCGAGGGGAGCTATTGACGGCGGATAAGGACGCTAGTAAGCCATTTTTGTCCGTGGAGCCATCTGCTGTTCGATTGGCAGAGAAATAAGTCTTCTGAATAGTCGAGGGGGTTGATTCATGATCGGCAATGCCAGCCCGCAGCCGAGAGGAGGAGAGAAAGCTGCGAACTGCGACAGTTCGCCGTGATGGTGATAGTCGCGAGAAGCATTGGGAACACAGGCGAGCAGGATCTCGCGCCAATCCAGACCTCAACAACGAGGACCGGAGAAGAATCATGGCGGAAGTAACATGGATGGAGAGAGATAGAAGTCACGATAGGACGATCTAGATCATGAGATGGATGAATCTCGGAAGAGTCGCGATTGACGGAGCAGAAATTCCCCGGCGAGGCACAAAGACCACAACCGCAGGAATGTCCCATACTATAACTAACCCCATACCGCCCTTACGATAGTTGTTGTTGCTCTTAGGAACCATCTTGCTCCGTTGGCAAATTCATCGTCAACCAAAACACAAAAACGTCCGCCATGGATACGCTTCAAAAGGTCGTTATTGACCCTCTTCAACCCGTTCTCCGTCCTATCTCGTCCGCTCTCCCGCAACCCGTCCACGATGTCATCATCTCCTTGATCGGATCGCCATGCCACAGCGCCCTCCTCCTCGACCTTGATGTCACCAAGGATCCAGCCTGCACGTCCCTCGCTATCTCCAAGGCTCTGGGTATTGCCATCGTGGGTGCAAGCGCCATAGTGAAGGTTCCGCAAATCCTGAAGCTTATCCGCTCACGATCCTCTGCTGGCGTATCCTTTGTCTCCTACGCGCTCGAAACCGCCAGCCTGTTGATCACTCTTTCCTACGGCGTGCGCAACCAGTTCCCGTTCAGCACATATGGAGAGTCCGCCTTGATTGCGGTGCAGGATGTGATCGTTGGAGTTCTGGTGTTGACCTTTGCGGATCGCTCTACCGCTGCTGCGGCCTTTATTGCAGTGGTTGCCGCCAGTGTGTATGCGCTGCTCTTTGATCAGACCCTGGTCGGTGCGCAGACCATGTCGTATCTACAGGCTGGTGCTGGTGCCCTCGGTGTGGCCAGCAAGGCGCCTCAAATCTACACGATCTGGCGCGAGGGAGGGACCGGACAGCTGAGCGCCTTTGCGGTATGTTTTTTTCTGTCTACTGATACCTGAGGATACGCGACTGATTTTGTAACAGGTGTTCAACTACCTTGTCGGTTCCCTTTCTCGCATCTTTACCACGCTGCAAGAAGTTGACGACAAGCTCATTCTGTATGGATTCATTGCTGGGTTTGTCCTGAACGTTATCCTGGCGGCACAGATGGTCTACTACTGGAAGAGCCCGGCGCAGCCCAAGAAGCGACCTGCTCGAGCCTCTCGGCCAGTGGAAAAGATTCCTGCGGCTGAAAGCACAGGAGTATCGCCCAAGCCCTCCGCCAAGTCGCCCACCACCCGCAGACGGGGTTAGACTAGTCGCTTTGACAATTCTCATCAGAATGCTTGAATACAATTTTTAATGTCCTTGAAACCATTCCCGCGTTCTCTAATCAACGGTCAAGTGCTCGCAGCCATCAGCGCTGCGTTGGCGGTATCCCCGTAGTCATATACCGTAGAATATCCTCCAATGGAACCGCATGTCCAGCTGCTTTTTGCTGCTGCTGCTGCTGCTGCTGCCGTGACCCCGGCATAGGCGCCGCAATATCAAACTCCAATCCAGCGCCCACACCAGACTTGCGTCGTACTCCAACAACCTCCATTTCTTCTTCCTCCCCCTCCCCTTCCTCCTCACTCTCACTCTCCTCATCCTCATCCTCATCCTCCAACTGCCTCCTCAACCCGGTAACAACATTCTGAATCCCCATCTCCCTCTCTTCCAGCGTGAAATTCCCGCCCCAGTTCCTCCCCCTCGCCTCCTGGTTCGCCTCGACAGGCGCCCAATCCCACAGCTCCGCCAGCGCCCCCTCACTCAACGCACCCTGGTCCTCCAGCGCAGACGCCCCCGACCGCCGACCGCGCGATACCCAGTCCTCAACCCGGGGGTCGAGTTTCGTGCGGAGGAGCTGCTCAAGCGTCGGGGCCTGCGTGCGGCCGGGGTACGAGGGGCCCGGGTAGGCGCCGAGCGCAAAGAGGAGGTCGCGGTTGTCGGAGAGGTGCTCAGAGACGCTGAGGAGGTTGTTTGAGATGATGCCTGCTTGGGATTGGAGCGAGGACCTGCTTCAATTAACATTTTGCACTTTGGATGCCGGTTGTTGAGGGGTGGTGTACCAGGATGGAAGCGGGTCGCTTTGGTTTAAGCTGCCGATTAGAGAGGCTAGGGAGCGGGTGAGCTGGACGAGCCGTTGGCGGGATTGTTCAAGGGTCTTTATTTGGTCTTGGTTTAGGGATGCCATATTGCTTTGAATTAGGAAGTTCGAACTGAGCCGTTGATGCTGTTGAGGTATGCGGTTTGGACGATTTGGATGATGATGGGGAGAAGACACTAGGTGATAGGCCGATAGCTGGCAACCCCACAGCTACAAAGGCATAGGGCTAGATCTACATCTACATTCACGATTCTGGTATCGTATCTACAACACGGTCGCTGAAAGAGACTCTCAAGGTCTAGGACACCATATCTAAAAGGTATTCGGTTCCTATGGACTCTCTACTGGTCCTAAACAGTTTGATTACTTCCATCTCGGCTGCACGAGAATCGCTCAAACTGCTATAAATAGCGTCCTCACCATTACAAAGCCCAAGCTGTAGAATCCTTCAACACAACCACCCTTCGCCATTGGTAACTTGGCATCTTTGGCTGAAACGCTTGGAAATGCAATCAGTCCACGCTGACGATGCTATTATGCCAAAGTCTGGAGATAACTGTGCCGTCGACCTGTCGTTGACTCGTTGGCGCCAATCCCGTGTTTATTTTTAGCTAGATGCCCGTCCTGATCCTTCGGCCGAAGAGGGGCTGGTGGGTGAGCGCTACCTTTGGCTCTCCGCAGAAATGGGTATAAAAAGACGATGGAGTCTGTCGGACAGTTTCCTTGAATTCTGGAATAGTTACTATGTACTCCGTACCAGCTTTGATATTTGCCAATTATCTCTGCTGAGCTATGGTCAATCATTGCTAGGAATTACGCCGCCAACTGGTCAACGCCAGCAATATCACCACGCGATAAACATCTCGCTCAAACGCCGGAGGGAAAGTGGAATGAAGATTGAATCAACTGATCAAGGAGGGTATATCAACGTCATTCGACGGAGTTTGATAACATGCGAGTCATTATGCATAAGAAAGGACGAACGGGGGAAAGGCAAGAGTTTCTGACAATGGATAGTGGCCTGCACTGGAGAGTACGACCGCCATTCACATTGCTTGATCAGTACATGTTTTCCAACGAAGCCCATGGACGCCATACACCAGCAGGCCAGCAAGGGAGTAATATCGACGTTTACCCACGACCTCACAGCTAGTGCTTCTGGGGAGGTGAGCCACTGCGCTCAGGATAGTATGTCTGAGCGTGATATCCCTTCTCTTGCTCCGGAGAATGTGTGGTAGATGGGACTGTGACAGGAGATTCGGTGATTTCGACATAATTGGACTTGGAGAATCCCACCTCCTGAGTCCGGCCGTCTGTGTCGACAAAGTTGAAGCCATGTCCAGACACTGGGTAGTGCATCGGTTGGCTATACATTCCATCCTTGGCAGGATCAGCCCATGCCCCGTGAGCTGGGGTACTGATGGTGGTATCGTTCCACCGCGCATGAAGATGGTCCGAACGACGGCTCTTGCGAGCCTGCTTGCGTCGCCAGCGGATAAAGAAGAAGCATCCCACTGCGAGGATACAGATCAGGATCACAAATCCCAGGATCGGGAGCGCAATGATCAAAGCCAGGTGGCTGGAGCCTGAGTTGGCATTCGCGGAAGGAGAGGTCAGGTCCACTGTGGACTGGGGCAGCAACGACTCGCTGAAGACTCTACTCGGACTAATAGGAAAAGCTTTGCTGCTAGGTGTTCGGAAGTGGCAATTGTAGCGAAGAGCTTCTAGGACTACACCGTTCGCAAGGCTGTCAGTAACTGGCGAATTCAGACCGGAATAAGGTAAGAAAGGGAAAGCAACACACAATTTGCAAGGTAGACCTGGGAATCGGTCATATTGCTGGTCAAATTGTAGCAAAACTCGCACTGGCTGATGACATTGTCCGCGAAAGACGAAGCACCACACCAGGTATCGAAGTTGACACCACTCGGATCATCCAAGTCATACTCGAGGGCCGATGATAATGACTGGCAGGAAACCACGCAAGGAGAAGAGATATTGGCAACCTGTTCAGGGAAGCCGTACACGCAGCTGCTGAAGGCATACCGGAGGTTGTCTGAAGCTTCGCATTAGCGACTGTATGTCTCTTTTGTCACCAAAATGTCGAATATACGTACAGAGTCCCCATTCGACATCCGTCTGCCCCGAAGACGAGTCACCGTAAGTGCTTCCCAATTGGCACTCTACGCAGTTTTGAAAGTCGGACCCCTTTGTGGTCTCGCTGAACTGCTCGTCCAAACAAACGATCTCGGAAGCTGTAGTGTTCGAGGACACTTTATTGCAAACATTAGCGCACGGCGAGCCGGGAGTCGTCTTCAACCCGATAACCACAGGTGTAAGGTGACCGAGGAGCAAGAAAACAGCCGCCAAAAGCGACGTAGATTTCGGCTTTTGGCTCAAGAAGCCGATCATCTTGAGAGAAGAGCCGGACCGATCAATCCAGGCTGATGCCAATGTATTACTGTAGGTTCGTGGAAAGAATAGGCGACACGCCGTGGGTTCGATGGCCAGGCATCGAATTGACAGCGCAGTGGTCGAAAACGATAGCCCAAGAAAGTAGAAAAGCCAGGAAGTAGCCGAACAAAAGAGCAAAGATGAAGGTAGGTCACGTCCTTGAGCCAGTTACCACCATCGCTAGGTTGACATCTTGGTACTCCTCGTGGATTGATAAAGAATCCGACCGGAGGCAACGCGCTGCAGCATGGTCAGGTCGACTTCCTCCTTCCAGGATCTGTCGAGACTGTCGTTCGTAGGGGTGCAAGCTAGTCGAGGACGATTAAGCATGCACCATGAGCAATGGTGCTTGTCTGGGCGCTAAGACACACGCTCGCAGAGGCAGAGAACATTGGCCGGCTATTGGTCTACCGCGACTGGTTGGAAGAGAAGCGGGACCGGGGCTTGTGCCCAAATCACTGACCGTCCAGTAGTAACTCTCCGTGGCCATTTGAAATTGTCTTAGGAGCAGGATTTTTGGAGTGTGACGAGAGTCGACGAGAGACTGGAGTTGTGATTGTGACTGGGCCTGCAGCTTGTCGCATCGGCTCACGTTGGCCCTGGCAGGAGGCTGTGATTCGTCGATCACGAGCGAACCCCTCATTTAAGTGCCCAGAACATCACATTAGGCAGGTAGAAAGTACTTTACAGGTAGACAGTACTAGGACTCGCTCATCGTTGTTTGCGTCCTTGATTGGACGAACGATGTTCATGTTTTAGACTGCTGGGTTCCGTCTTTTTGTGCTCGGAAACGGTGCCGGTATTACCTGAATCCAGATCATCTAGAGCACAGGAACCTACTGCAGTCTAGCAAAGGTGATGGACAGGTAGGTCACAGAAAATAGCCGCTTGTCCTGGGTACAAAGCAGCTACCTTGCCCCATCCCTGCATCACGACTTCACTAATCTGAGTCAACAATCATCTGTCCCAACAAATGGAATAATTCTCAGTAGTTTCCTATGATAATGACATGATATGATAAGGAATGATCAGAAAACCCCCCTGTCCCTTACAAATTCATACATGGTAGATACTGGCCCATCATTCTCCAGGCCCACCCGGTTTGTGCTGAGAAGAGAAGGCTAGACAAGCACATAGACCAAAAATCAAGAAGGAGCCTCCCATATGAAAAAGATAAGACTCCAAAATGCAAATTGTATGTCCTATTGCGCTCTTGCTGGTGGCACAAAAGGTAACGAATCATAATAATCATTAAGAAAACCCTCGAGCAAAAGGTCGTCCTCCAGCCAGAAGGCCTCATGTAAATGAAGGTCTGTTATAACGGAAATGGTGATTGTAGTAGGGAGGGTATGGAGATCGTAGACAAGCGCTACCCGTAGAGCTCATCGTAGGAGGGTACCAACTCTGGCTCACGAACAGGCTCACGGACAGGCTCAGTCTCTCGAGGCTTTGACCGACAAGCGAGTTTCTGTTCTTGAAATGGAGAATACGACCTATGTCGAGGATCCTCAGGTGGGACTGACGGTACTGAGGATGTAAAGCTCGTATGCTTGGAACTCGTGGTCCCCGAAACCGATGCCGTCGGCTCGGCGGCGCTGCTTTGTTGACTGCGTCGCCGCATTCGCGAGGTGACAGAGAGCGGGGGTGACTTGGACGCCCAACTATAGTCATCCATATGTGCATTGAGTTTGAGACGGTTTAATTCTCGCGGAAGCCGTTTGGGTCCCTTTGGCGGTGGAATAACGTCTTCTTCGGCTTCATCGGCTTCATCGGCTTCGTCGCTGGAGCATATTTCATCCCAAGGATTGACAAGGCCCTTCTGCTCACTTGCAATTCCACGGTGCTCTGAGATTTTCTGCGTGGGCTGTTCTTTTGTTGCTAGACTTCGTAATTTCGCATCGTAGTGTCCGGTGGGTATTGTCATGGCAGAATCGACTGATGATCCCCGTCCTTCCGAGTCGCCAGAATGTAAGGTTGGTTCGGGGCGAGAAGAGTTACTTTCTCGATGTCGTGCATCTGGCGAACTATGCCTTCGACGTTGTTCCGAAGAGATCTCAGGAGCAACATTCATCTTGATGCTAGAAGGTTGGTCCCACTGACTCCAGGAACCTTCGGTGGGATAAGTGATTGATACATCGCCCCATCGAGAATGGAGTTCGGAAGACAGCTTGCGCTTCCTCCTCAACTTGCGAATAATGTCCGTCATGATGGCGATAGGATTTTTCATAGAATGTACCCCCAGAAGAGAAGTTCACTTCTTTAGAAGGACTCGGGCCGAAATTAATGCCACACCGTCGGGAAGGCAAAGTTTGTAGCGACTGACGCAGGAATTATGTATTCCTCTCCTACAGAGACTCCTCCGATTGAGTCAAGAGGGAGTCAGACTTTGTAGGGAGAGGAAACAGGAGTGATACTGGACAGCCGACGGCCTGCATGGGATGAGGAGAAATCATAACAGATCCATCAGGCACAATCAAATGACAGTCACATAGCTCTATGTGACATGATCCGAAAGGAAAGACTCTGAAGAAGTCCGCTCGAGTAGACGACACCGTAGGACGGGAGTCATGCGAGACAAAGACGCGTTACAGACCCGACAGTTTGGGTCAACCCCCCTTCAGGTGAAAGTCAACGGACCGCCACCTGGAAACTTCCCAAAGAAGATCATCTTTGGGCATCGCGGCGGTCTTGGAGCGGCACGCAGAATGACAGACGGTGACTGGTCCTGAAGTCGCCGGTAGAGCATTTTCAGGCAGGGTAGACAGCAGGCTGCAGTCTCTGGCCTGCAAGCCATAGTATTAAACGAGAGGGGTACGTCGCGGAAGGAGTAAGAAATATTGCAAGGAAGGAGAAATTGCGGCGTAGTCACCTTACAGCTCTTGCCGACGCAAGCCAAGCGATCTGGGATGTTGGTCAACTACGTTGCACACAACGACGCCCGCAGCTGTCCGCCTTCTTGGCGTGGCGCTTGCTCATCATCTACTGCTCGAAGCAGGACCAGGGGACAGCCGTATCAATCGATTAAGCCTCGAGAAGATGTAGGACTTTCGCAAGGGTGGGGGGGCAATGGAAGATGACCGACTATGTAGAGACTACGGCAGTAGCATCTTCCAACACCGCGGTTGACTCTTGTCGATAATCGCATCCTGGATGAAAAGCTCCGTTCCTCTGCATCCTGCCTAGATTGCCAGGCAGTAGCCTAGATGGACAGGCTACGTAATCTAAGGACAGGTGAGTCGTGAACATACGTCGTAAGGGTCACGATGCGGCTGAGGAAAAGGTTCGACCAATACTGGGGGAGAAAGCTCCGTGTGGATGTCATGTCGTACTTACTGGGATCTCTATTCGCACGCCCCGTGATGCTCATCGCTATCGTATCATCGATGGTGTGGGTGAGTGAAAGGGGATGGATACTTGAGACAGACAGGGATCACCAGCAAAAGGAGGGGCAGAGCAACGAGCTGAAGCTCGATGCTCAAACAGGAAGGCTCTTAGCCAACTTCCTTCGATTGCCCAAGCGGAGTAGTGCATCCACCATATTTTTTTTCCATGTTTTCTTATTCAGAATCCGAACTGACAAGTCATCATAATAATATCGCTAATCGAGTTGGACATCGTCAAAGTTGAACCCTGGAACCAACACTCGGCGATTATTTAGCGTATTGTCGTTGGTTGAGAAGCGAACAAGCACAAGGTTGATCGTCCCGCAGTCCGTAAGCCCGTCGAGAGGCCCAAGTGAACCGAACCATCCACAGAGCGTAACTACGCGCCGTGATGGAGCATCAGCTCATGTCTTATCAGTCTAATCACAGTCATTCCTTGTTGTTGTCCTCCAGTTGAAATTCCGGACTGAATGAATCTAAGCGAATAGGCCAAATCATTCTCAGCACCTCGACAAGGGAAAAGACATCGTCGACCGCCAACTTTGCAACCAGGACGAAAAACTCGCTTTTGACGAAACTCGTTTCTTCGCCGTTGTTCCGGCCGAGTCGAGTAACACTACGGAGTACATACTCTCTCAATCTCATTCGGTCAGTCATTTCACTCCTCGACATTCTGAACCCACGCTAGTGGCATTCGAAAGGGCAGGGATATATATTGGCAGTGGAACGTAACCAGCAAATGCCAGTCCGCCTCAGATCAGGCTTGGAATGTGAATGCGTGTACTCAGTACGGACACTCCTCACATCTGATCAAATGTAACCTCGCAGGTGCTATCAAGCTTGATTATGGCATGGATCCGTGAAGGAAATACTTGCACGCTTACAGCGTCGAAGCGGAGATTTCCGGGGGATGCCAGTCGAGCTATTTCCACGAATTGACCCATGAAATGACAAACTACTCTTCCGCTTTGGAATATTGTCCACAGAGAGATGCAAATTTCCAGTGTGAGAGAGAAGCAAGCTAATTGTACGGTTAGTTTACCAAGACGCGGATCTTATGGTATTGTGCTAGATTTCCCCACCGTTTGTATGGAGATGGAGCAAATGTGCCAGAGCAGGGACCTCCTGCTGGTCTCGCAACTTGATGTTATGAGGCAATGGCTCGAGTCTAACTTTAAGGGAGGCTTATTACCCTGGACGGGCTAGGATTCTTGACATGTAGCCGTAGCAAGTAGAAGTTGTTATACCTCTGTAATCCTGTATCTCACCTCATAAGCAAAGTAATTCAGCTCAAGCCACTGATCCGAGCAAAAGTCCAAGCAAATCTAGCTATTCAGCAACAATATATCGCATCAGCGATCCAAATCACATGCCAAACATACCAGCGTATCGAGATCCTCTGGCTGTTACCCTCCTGAACAAGCAAAGCGACTAAAGCACAAAGAGCGACTAGCAGAGCCCTTCCGCACCGCACATTTCACCATATAATGAAATTGCCTTTGACGATAGCATTAAGTTGAAACATCCTCGGCTCCATGTCAAGATGTCTGCCACCCGCATCGTTCTCAGCGTCCTTCCAGGATGCAGGTAAGGCCTCCCCGTTTGCTCGCCATTCAAGATCTGTCATTCGCAAGGGAGCAAAGCTGAGTCCAGCCCTCCTGGCTAATAATTCCGCTCTCCGACCTGCATCCTTCATTGCCGATTGCGCAGCCTTGAACTCTAGAGAATGGGTGGCCTCCTCGCTGAGTAGCCAGTGAAGTTCCAAGATTTCAACGCCCTTATGGTCATCGAGCTGCTTCGCCACATGGCGCATAAAGTCCACATTTCCGAAGCCCATTCTGTACGTTGTCTGCGAGCGGTAGATGCGCGCGTGTGCCGATCTCGGATTAGCATTTGCGGCAACAGTATCGCTTTTCCATTCCGACCAGGTTCGTGTAGGTTCAAAAACATGAATTGACTGTGGTGGGAATGCCCGCATCAGGGCTTGAGCACAAGCCATTTCCTTCCTGAGAACGGCACTATTGGATGCGCCGGAGAGATTCGTTCCAAAAACAAGAACGGCCTCGTCAGCCGGCTGTTGGACAGTTGCGAAACCATACAGGCATAGGCATCCTGCTATCATTTCATCCATGCTGATACGCAAATGGGTGTCCGGGTGAGGTGCGTTCGCCTGGGTACCGTGTAACGAGAGTAACGACCGAGATAAGAATAGGTAATATTATATGGCAGAGACGAGGAAATAGGGCATTAGAGAGAAGTCTCCGCCGAGCGTGTTGTCTCGAGAGAGACTGAAAGAAAATACATCGAGCTGAGGGTGTCTTGAGGTAGCGGACTCTTTAAGTCTGCACTTTCCTTCCATCATGCACGATGATGGCAAAGAGAAAGGAAGGAGGTGAGTCCTCCTATTCAGTCTTCATGATGATTCCTTCCTCGCGCCTCAGGTGGTTGACTGTCCTCGGGGAGACTTGCGAGTCCATCATAATTGACGTTAATTGTCCTAGTAGGACTGCTGCCAGTTGCAGGTCGAACCTGCTGAATCAATCATCAACTGGAGCCTCTTCCACGATCACAGGGCTCTGAAACTTGGATGAAGTGCGCCACATTGATGTCTCATTCATGAAATCGTTGTCATTATTTCTGCTGCTTCTGAGCCAACGATCACGAGAAGAACAAGAGTAAGAAATCCCAGGGTCCAACACCATGCGCCATCGCTAATATCCGTTTACGCCGTTCCAACAAACAGAGACATCGCGCTAACTCCAAAATCATGGTCAACTGATACGAATAGGCGTCTCCTCATCAGTTGAGATTCGTGATCAATCTCGACAGTACCGGTTTTGGTCTCCTAGGTAGGCTTGCCGTCTGATCGAGTGTGCTCGAGTCTGCAGGAACCACGTTGGCTTGGAAGAGACCGTCTGATTGTATCGAATCTCGTGTCGAATCTGGCGAGGTTCCCAGAAATGACGGCCCTGGTGGCTGCAATAGCTGGGGCAATGGCGAGTCGTCGTTTAGATGTGAGACATGCTGGTTGCGAAGCTGTGATGAATCTCTTATAGAAGCATTATCGACTGGCTGAAATGGCGGTTGTCTCATCGCAGAGAACTGCACGGCTGGTGGAATATCGATATCTCTGTACCTGGACGGGTCATAGACCGGTACATGGAACGTCTGATATGCTGGCGGTCGGTCACTGATGTCGTCAGAGTGGGCTCGGTAGATGGAGAGCGAAGATGACGGTCGACCCCGCATAGTTGCAAGCTCAGCATCGTCTGCCTTCAACCCTGCCTGGATATGATACTCGAGGAGTTGTTCTTCGCGTCGACGGATGCGATCCCATCTGCGTTTCTTATAGAGGAAGAAGAGTATGCCCGCGGTGACTGATACAGACTTGTTAGCATTGAAACACGCACACGACCTAATTTGCTAGAAGAGAGTCCTACTCGCAATGGCAGCAACGCCTCCAACGACCACTCCGATGATTATCGCAGTGACATTGTTGGAGCTCCCGGTTCCTGATTCAACGTGACCTGAATAGTTGGTATCACGCGAAATGACCATACTGGACAATCGTTCTTCAGAAGAAAGAAGCAATGCTTGTTCGATACCAATCACACGCGAAACAATGAGAGGACCCTGATCCGCCTCGCCAGCCTCTCCATCAACGCAGTTAGATCACCCCTCTACGATGAGCGGAAGAAAGAGAATATTTAAGTCCTGTCATATTGATAAGCTCAGGCTGATCACGGTCCCTCGTTTCAGAGCCGTGAGTTTAAAGTTATTTTGAGGATCAAGCAATGCGGGATTGCGGTAGTCATGGACAAAGATAGAAACCGAATCAGAGAACGCTCTGGGAGGATCACTTGCGCTTATCTTGTTTAGTTGATGGTTACAGACAAACGGAAAGCTGAAACGCATGCTCGAATCCTCCCACGCCCAAAATAGCATCCAAACTGGTGCGAATTCGGGGATCATTGGCTGAGAGAGTTCGGCGACTCGGTTGTGCGCGCCCTGACCCCGTATCTCCGCGCTAGGGAGGAGGGGGAATTGCGATCTGACCCATCTCTCTGCAGATGAGTTGTTCAAGCTCAAAGGGCCCTATCTTTGCTTCAGTAACTGACGCATATGGCCTGCATGCTGAAATTACAAGGACTGACAAGTGAAGGAATTAGCACAAGATGATGCATTTCTTCTATCACATTGACCGACGACCTCTAATATGTATGCGCCGTTTGCTGATTATTCTGCATAAGGTCGATAAACCGCCATTCCCTTCTCTGTGTGGAAGTCTAGGGCGACTCCCTGTCCGATGAAGTAGGTGTATCCTTCCTTCAGATCGAACCGCTTGTCGCCAGGAGCGTTCATTTGACCATTACCTTTTGTGACGATCATAAGACTCGGCCCTAAGATGGCCTTGTGCGTTTCCGTCTCCCCAGGCCCCAAACAAGTCGCCAGGACGTTGAATTCGCTAAAGGCGGGCGCATACTCATCGGTTTTCCCATTCAAGCCCTTGTCACTCTTTTTCCGTGGTAGAATCACCTCGTCTTTTGAGTGAGGTTTGAATGTTAGCGCCCGTGAGAACAGATCCACATTGTCCCGAGCCGGCCTAGGACAAAATCCTGTGTTCAGAACGTTATCGGAACGGGCCATGCATTCCATGATGTCACCGTTAAGATATGCATGCAGACTATCAGCAGGTACATTGACTGCCTCGCCTGGGCCGATGCTGAGATAGTTCATCAACAACGCAGCGACCAGGTTGCCATTGTCGTACTCGGAATACTGTTTGCGAAGTCTCCCCAGCATACCCGGAATATAGCTGCTGTTGGGACCGAACTGGGACTCGGGTATGTTCTGAAGCTCATTGATCGTTTCGGCAACGGCGACAGGGGACGCGCTCAGCAGCGCCTTGCAAATCTGCCGCAGAAGCTCGTCGTCGAATTTCTCGTGGGGTGGGACAAACCGTTCGAGCGGCTTCAGTTTCATGAGGGACTCGATGTCCTTCAGGGGTTTGAAGCCGGCAAAGAGCTCAAAGTTAGATAGTGCAATTGCTATTTCGGGTTTGTGGTTGGGGTCGCCGAACTTCTTCGGATCGGTTGCGTGGAGCTTCTCAGCCAAGGCCTTGTCGGGGTGGATTTGAAGTGGGAGGGCTTTGGCGAAGGATAGGATCTGAGTTTTCGGTTAGTCAAGGTCGGCAGGCCGTTTCTCTTCGACACGGTGTGTACCTTGGGTAGAAAGGGGATCTCTGGCCCAAATCGATCCAAAACGGCCTTCCCGATCACCTGCGGGTTGTTTTTGATGTAGTCAGCGAGCAACTCGCCTGTGGCGAGAATTTTCGACGGGTTTGTCGGGTACGTCCCCATCCACATCTATCTGAAGAGTTAACTCTTATAAGCAGCATGGCTAGGGGACGAGACGCCTCCTCACCTCAGAGTATGTCTCTGTCTCCTTGATATCACCGGAGCCAGGTGATTTGGCCCAAAGCTGGGCAGCCAGTGCATCTTTGCCCTTTTTGCCCCAAGAATCGTGCTGTTATCATGCAGCCGTTAGACCTCGAATCTGTAATTCAAGATGGCGAAGACGAACCTTGCATTCACATTTGATTTGGACCACTGATTCTGCCATTGTGCTGGATGTATGCGACTTGGTAGGATTGCGGCGCAGGTTGTAAGAATTGTTACTCCCGATCCTCAAGCGATTGATTTAGGAAGTAATAGGGATAATAATCATGAGCGATGTAGAAAGCAGCGACAAAGATGGCCGGTCTTGCGACGACGATATGGTGCAATGCGTGGGCATGGCGTCATTCTTGGTATACCCAGCGGAACAGGCGACAGAACAGGAAATTTGGAGGCAAACTAGCTCCGCCGTTGCCTGATATCCCAGCGAGCTGGACTAGATGAATCGATGCGACTGTGAAGAAGTGAAGGGGGAGGCCAATCCGCCAATAGGAAATATGAGCGAACGATTGAAGAGTTCTGACGTCGACTGGTGATGGTGATGGTGTTCAATCTGACGTCAGGATAGGACCCTCACCTCGGGTACCTTTCGTAGTATGCATGTAGCTCATTGTATTATTATCGTCAGTCCAGGTAGGATTCGGAAAGAATACAGACCCGATCACTCGAACTCCATGGGCGTAGGGTATTGATTCAGGCTTTGATTCTTCATCTACGGCCTTAGTAAGGGGTACCAGGCGTGATTTGCGAGGTGGTTTCCGACTATCTAGAGAGGCATACCAAGTTACTCAAGATGTAAGATAAGCTAAGACGGTAAGGGAGCAGCTACTGGATGCCATAATGTCATTATCATTATCATGGTTCTGCTTAACACCATAAAGAGTTGCCAAAATATAAAATTGACGCCAACCCACCAACGCCTTGAAATATGCTGCTGCAAAGTCCACCACGAGCCAAATGCATTCAAGTCAAAAGGGAAAATGAAACCAAATCATCCGTAGATTTCCTCCGCATCAGGCACCATAGTCATGGTCATGCGTCTGCCGGAGACACGCTTCTTCGCCGCGGACGCCGACGAACCACTCCTCCGAGAGCCGGAGATGGAGTCCACCCGCTCACAGGCATGGTTGAACCCCTCGTCCCAGTTCTCATCGTCTCCAGCGCGGAAGCTACCCCCCGAAGAGACCGAGTACGCGCACGATAAGCGCGAGCGAGCGAATTCCTCCTCGTACCGCGGGTAGGCAGGGATATACCGGAACCGGGACGACGACGGCGACGGCGACGGCGTCGGCTCCAGAGACGAAGCGGGAGATGGAGATGAAGGCCGCTTGTCGAGGCTGTTGACGGTGATTCGAGGCGCCGCTGCTGTCTTTTCGGCGACTTCGCTGGGATAATCCTGGCGGATGGGTTTGTAGGCGAACTGGGCCCGTCGCTCGACGAGGGGTTGGCGTTCGGTTGTGTCACAGTCCAAGCGGGAGCTCTTGGATCTAGGCGCCAGTCGTATGGAGAGACGCCGAGACAAGGAGGTTGGGGTTAGGGTTGAGCTTGGGCGTGACTCGATGAGTTGATGCGTGCGAGGCACGTATTCCACTTCGTAGGCTGGCTTGTCCATGCTCTTGTCCTTGTTCTTGCTCTTGCTCTTGCTCCTGCGGGTCGAGGAGGAAGATTGGTGAGGGGTTGAGGTAGTGTATTGGGTCCAGGAGCCGTCAGTTGGCGCGGAGATGGCTGCGTCGCCCCATCTGGTGTGTAGGGATCGTGATTGCTGCTGCGACTGGGGCTTGGAGGAGTCGTGCTTGCGGAAGATGCCAAGGGGCCGGGTGACGATGTTGGCCATTTTGGTTATGTTCAATGCTGCTTTGCTGTGGGAGCAGAGAGATGGCTCATGGTACGGGGTACTCCGTACTGATGCAGGGATCGGAGTATATAGAGGTGGCACAGGCAGCTCAAACTGGAAGAGCAGTCTGGAGGAACGAGGCTGCTCTGCAATGTCCAAGGGCGAGGGCTCAAGAGACAAGGATAAGGCACAGATGATCTTGACGGATGACCACCATCAATCTATGCAATGCAGGACAAGGGCAGGCTTCAGTCACAAGCACCACCACCACCAGAGCAAGTCTGTGGACAAGCCTCGAGACTCTTATCGACGAAGACGACAACGGACGTATATAAGCTTATCCATGCTGGATATCCAGTTAACGCTGCTGCTTTTCTAATTATGTTTCATCATACACTGAGTCTCTGAAACAGCCACAAACAGCTTAAGCTTGCATCGATCTGGTCGATGTCGATCAAGTTGCCAACATTAGCAACAATTAACAAACAAAGACGCTCCATTGCCGCCCGACGCATTAGCGTCACTTAACAGGCATTGTCGCAGACTAACATATCCATTCTTAGAAACTTATCCATGTAAGACGCCGCGTGAATTCTTGAATTAGTCTGCAATATGCAGTCAAGTACCATAATTAGTTTCCTTTCGCAGGTTGGTAGCGGCATAATTGTGCCAAATTTAGTTCACCACTAGGAGGACTGTGCAGCAGCGAAGCGCCCAGTGAGACCTCCTCAGCACTAGTTGGGGAGGACGAAACACACTAATTATGCAGGATTCTGTTAAATAAATTAATATGCATGTCCTGCATGCAACTGATTTCGTCAGTGGGTTGTCAGCTCATGAGGGGTTATGGTTGTCAAAGAACTGCCTTCGATTATACACGCATGCAGAGCAACCATGCGATGGGATAGGATAGCATAAGAGGTACATCTATTGATCGTCTGCTCTAATACAGATTTACCCTTCCGCTTGCCCACAAAGTAATTAAGAACGCCGTTTCAAAATGCTGTGGTATGACCTGTGAACGTGTCAAATGACCTGAAAACCAACTCCGAGTCCTCGTCTAAGGTCGCCGTGTATGCACTGTCTATGGGGGCTTCCCTTTCTCCAGAAACGCCTTTTGCAGGCATCTGTGTAACTTCCAAAATTTATGGTCTAGAACCCAAGGCAACATCACATGCGAATGAAAGCCGTAAAAGGCCAACATGGTGAGACATGGACTGCTGCTCGTGGTCTCACATGCTGGACAAATGCTCGAAAAGAGAGGTCGGATAGAGTGCTTCGCAAACTGACCTCTTGTCGAGTCTCTAAGCCGAGTTCCCAATATCCCCAGATGAACCATGGTGTCTTTATGATGGGGAAGCATTTATATTGGCTACCCTGATTGTGCATCAGCTGTAAGAGTGACGGGTTGACGACCCAATCGAGCCCCCTTGAACTGCAGGGGTCATCTGTAGTAGGCTGCGTGGAGGTGATATCGTTTTTGAGTACAACGACATTCGGGTGCTGGCATCGTCGGCAGAGTGCGTAGATGATGGCCAACGTGATGCGCCTACGGAGGGACTCATCACGGACGCGGCTGATGTTCGAGTTCGGACAGGGCTCTGCTGACCATGCCGTGATCCTGGCTGCCCACCCACCGACGACCCCCATGAGGGACCCCGGAAAAGTATCGGTCGCTCTGGAGAGGATAGATCCGTTTCGTCATAATCGGAGTCAATACAATATGTTCCGTCAACGGTCAGGTCCCTCGGGCGGTCGTCGCTTCGATCTTGAATCTCCTGTCCAACTTCGGCTGAACGAATAACACTCAAGGTATGTGACTGCTCGGCGAGAAATGCGCTATGAGACCGCCTCACTTGCGCTGTGGATCGACGGCCCGAATTGGGGCGCATTCGCTCCATTCGCTCCACTTCATGATCGTACGAACTCCTCCGGTTGAGCATGCGTCCACGCCCTCCACTGCTATCAAGCGAATCAATCGAATGGCCATTCAGCCCGTGATACCTCAAGTTTACCAGGCTAGGACTGAACGCAACTCGCACGCGCATCTGCTGGATAGCCGAGTCCAATGCTAGCTCTATCGCACAGTGATTCCTGATCCGTCCGAGTTTGGGCCAGGTTGCGCGTTCTCCGCTGAGACATGCCTGAAGCATGAATTCAGTGGTCGGGTTCTTGAGGATTCGAGGGAAATTTGCGTAGAGAATCTCCGGATAAATATTGATATCTCCGTAATATTTCTGGTTCATGATGGATGCAGCTTTCGTGAGGGACGTGGGGAAGATACCAAGGTCCGACAAGACCGTCATCCGGTGTAATATTTCGTCCTTGGCTAGATGTGTCACGGCGTGAAGCCAGCCAGGTGAGGATGACGTTTGCATTGGCCCATGGCTGGGACCATCATCCTTCGGAAGAAAAGGAACCACATGAGGATTCACCTGTGAGACGATGAAATGATTGACGTTGAACATCTCAGACAACCTGGTCATGGGTAAATCCCCATCCACTGAGCCATCAATGTACTGCTTGTGAAAATCAGTCCAAGGGACCGCTTCTCCGGTCAATGGATCCTTGGCCATCAGCACAAAGGGCGTGAAAACCAGCGGTACTGAGCAGGAAACGGCTCTATAGCAAGTCAGAACCAAGCTCAGCCAAGAGGGGTATGTTGAGCATCAGGATAATAAAACTTACACAGCAGACCAAATCATCACGTTGGGTGCGGTAATGTAGTTCAACAACCTTGGAAGTTCGTACACTCCGGCACTGGAGACACAAATGTTCAGTATCCTCCTCGTCCTGTTGTATGCCTCCTGAAATGTAATGTCGCCAAGCCAGTTTCGCATGACTCTAGCAAGATGCGAAATGTCCAAAAAGGAGCCGTATTTTAGAAACCGTGCTGTTTTCTGCAAGATATTCTCCTCATTTCCTTCCTCGTCAAAGACGGCGAAATCTCCGTAAGCATAAGTATCCAAAAGCGCAGGTAACTCGTCGTCCGTACGTGTACAGAAAACGGCACAGACAATACTGCCTGCTGAGGCGCCGGAAATAATACGGGGGAGCAGTTTTGCTTCCCACAGACCTTTGAGTACCCCGATATGGTTCATTCCGAACGTGGCGCCTCCGGAGAATAGAAGAGCACTTCGACCAAACGCCTGTCGCGCGGCGAGGAGTTGATCGAGCATATACCTCAGTTCCAACACGTCACACTTCTTTCCAGCCAGTTCCACCAACATTGATATCGTGTCGAGCGCCGTCGTGATGTACCGGTCGATCAAGTCTTTCGTACCAACATGAGAATGCCTGTACAGCGCAGCATTGCTCATATTCCCCAGATCGCGACTCAGCGAAGTGCGAATCAGAAAAAGCATCCGGCTTACGTCACAACTGATGCGGGCTTCTTCCAGCTGTCTGAGACGCTCTTGCACAAGGCGAGTGTTGTATTCGGAACATTCGAACGTCTGTTTCCAGGTATTATTGTCCTCTAACTCATCCAGTTCGCAGGCGCAGTTCCTCCACTCCTCGTACGAGACCGCCTAGACCCATGAATTTGATTTAGCTAAGGACTGACAGCGGCAACGGAAAGAGGAAGGCTAGCGACTTACATTACGCATTCTGAGGTACAAAATCTGCTTGCGATCCTCAATATCTGTGAGCGCCTTCCTTTGCTCTCTTGAGGCTCCATCGCGATACGCATTTAGGGTATCCCCAGCCCATGACAGCGAGTTCCGCACCACCGACGGTAACGAGGGGATGGAAATCGATTTCGATAGAATATGGCGCTGCCGTGCCGGGGTCGATGAGACATTGAGCTGACTCCGGGATTTAACACCGCCGTGACATTTAGGTTGCACAATGGGCAAGTCATGAAAAAGCGACATGGTAGTAGGCGTCACGTTGAGGGAGAGCCATCCATCTGGCGAATGTGGGAGGAGCAAAAAAGTTGACCAGAAAGCATGAAGATAGGAAAGAAGGATGCCAGACAATCTTCTGCAGTCCTCACTTTATACGTCAAGGAGAGCACCTGAAAACTAAAAACATAGAGAATGGAGGCAAGAATGAATGGAATCATCCATTAATGAATGTGAATGTACTGCAAACAGATGCCCTTGCCTTGTTAGTCTGTACTCTGCAGCATAGCACCCCCAGGAAATCAGCGTGGGGTTTGGCACTTGTCAGCAGCGATTCAGACGTCACGCGGGCAGAGTTGGGCCTCAGGTGTGGAGTGGAGTCTTTGGAGGCCCATCGCCCATTGCCACATGACGCCTGTTCCAGCAATCCCTCGTGTCTCTGTACATCCCCTCTTGATGCTGCTCACTATCCTCATTTTCTTCCTCTGAGGACTGGAGTAGAGCGCAGTACTTGCGCTATCTATTCTGCTGTTCTTTTTTATTCGCCCTTGATCAGTTATCTTTATGCTGGACACCTGACGTCATCTGTCTGTTCCCCAGCCAGATAGGTATCCTTGTGTGCCTGAGTCATGATAATTCCTGTCTGGGAATACAAGCATGTGACAGGATTATTAACAGGCCAATATACAATTCAGACCTCATCAGGACTTATATCCATGGAAAGCACAAGAGAATTTTGGCTGGAGTATTAGTCTAGCATCTAAACAGTATCCACTGAGTGAAAATATCTATTGAGTAGAGACAATTGCCTTTATCTTATAACCTCCTAGTTTGACGACCCTAGCAGTCACCATATCGTATGAGGGATGTCGACATACGAAATGGTCCCATTGTCAATTGCCGTGCTATTGGACAGTATGTTCGATCCTGCTCAGATTATTAGCCCGTCGCGTCAACTTCACCGTGACTTGAATTTGGTACAAAAGACCTACCTCCATGAGTGCTGAGGTACAGTCGATGATGGTCACCATGTTGGCGTCCAAACTTTGCTGCCGTCACCCCACCCACAGCTGCCGACCTGTTGCTGCCTCCAGGATAGACAACGCCGAGTTCGTTCAAGGTGCCCAGGGCAATATATGCTGTCCCGTTTTCGTC